GACTCACGTTGAATGTGTAACTATCAAGTAATATGGTAATTATTGAAGCACACAATACAGGAGCATTTCCTAGCAGGAAGATCTATGGCTCATGAAATCATCTCTAAAAGAAAGTTATCAGCAGCCAGGTCTCAGTCAACTGTAAAGCAAAGAGAGTATGTTATTACTGACACAGAAATTACTTCTATCTGATTTTGCCTTGGCCCCCAGGAGCCTCCAGTGTTCACATGGTTTGTACAGAACTGACAGATATTTGGAAAATCACTCCCCTATTCATAGTGAATCACTAGTTTTAAATTGTGCTCCAACTCTAAACAACTTTCTTCCTCTTATTGAACCATCAGAGCCTTAACTCATACTCCTGTGCAAGGCTAGGGGTCCTCTTGCCTAATGGAGTGTATTTGGATGTAGTTGATGAGTCTCATTCTCTGCAAATTGCTGCAGAGAAGGAATGGAAAAGGATGCACTCAGAAGTGGTTAAAGTAAGTTCCAAACCATTTTCACAGATTTGGATTCTTGAATCTGCTCTTGGGGCTTGGTGCCTGCTTATAGAATAGAAGCTGAAGTTTTCCATTTTGCAGCCTTGGAAAACACCTGCAAAAGGACAAATTTATATTTGATTTGGTTTTATGCATCCTACAGTGGTAAATTTGGAACCTTCTTCACCAGCCATTATGTGCTTAGAAGAGATTTTTGCCTCTCTGGAGAATGAAGCCACTCAGATGAGGTAGCTTAATGAATCCTTTTTGCATTACATGCATTTTGCATGTGTGTAGACCATCTGCATGTACTGGATCTTGTGATTATACAAACTCTCAAGCACCAAAAGCCCAACAAGTACAGCAACAAAAACAACTAAAACACAGCCCTTCCAGCTGCAAATTTGGTGTGCAGAAGCACACATGTAGGAGTGCAAATCAACCCCTCATGGCTGCTTTCAACTTCCTTTGAAGTCAGTAGCAAAATTCTCATTGAGTTCAATAAGAACAAGAGGCAGCCCTTGAACTAGTAAAAGTCCTCATGAGGTTTTATAAGCTCTTTATACAAAACTTTATTCTAGTTGTATATGAAATACATTTTGACCCCATATCTACTCACAAGTTTGTGTGGCTGGTTGAGAATAATGTGACACCTCCACTGTGCCCAGGCTGTGACTGTCACTCAAGCCCTGGCTGTGCAGATGTCTGAGGGATTCCAGGTTACCTAAGCAAGTTTTGCTTTTCAGAGAAGAGCCACTAAAGAGAGGATGACAGCTCAAGTAGCTCATGTCCAGCTATTCAGGAGCAGGTTAGGTCAAGGCCACTTTTGGCCACTGATCCAGCCTCCCTCATGACACCAGACACATGACAAATGTACCAGCTAATTCTGCTTAGTTTTGTGGTAGTCTTGGACACAGATCATCACAGAGTATTAATACCAAGACTAGAAAACCTGGCACAGGAAAAGAATGGCATTATAGCTGTTCCCTTTCACTCTTTTCTGGTCCTGTCCAGAGAGTGGTGATGGGCAGCTGTTCCTCTGCTTGAGGGTGCTCAGCTGTGAATTCTCTAAAGGATCACTCATGTTGCTTCAGCTGTTCTACATTTATATGAAGTCTCTGCAAATTTGTGAGACAATTTGGGAAAATTATTATACTTGGTACTTTGTCTGGTCTCCAGCGGACTCAGAAAGCATGGTCACTGGGCTTAACCAATACTGACAGAAGTAATGTTTTAGCCAAAAGCCAGCTGGCAGAAAGTCTACCCCAAAAATATGGACAAGACGGTGATCGACAAATATAAACACTGTTGGCCCTGGCAGCAGTAGAAGCTTCGAGGTGGTGGCTTATACCTCTGTTATCTCTCAGTCTGGTGGCACCCAGATTTGGAGATCCATGTAGATCAGTCAGGAGAAACTCTGGAGATCCCAGGCAGCTCCATAAAACTGCTGCTCCGAGCCTCCATAGTGGCTCTAGGGAAAAGAAATCACTTCTGCACAAATGCTGGGGTCATGAAGATGAAATGCATGAGCAAGTCAGCTGAGGCCAGACTCTGTAGCCCTGTACTTTGGCCCTAAAAAAAATAAATTATCAGACTGATTCACAATTCATATTCTCATCTTGAAAACTGCCTCATCTTGAAAACTGCCTTATGGGAATTTCTCTACAAAATATGCAGCAGGACAGAGACCAGAAAGAAATGGCTGCTTTATGGTTGATTCATCTACAAAAAGATGAATGTTCTATTGTTTAAAATATTTACATGAAAATAATTTTTCTTTGATTTTTGAAATCTCACTGATTAAATTGTACCCAAATACTGAAAGAACTACTTCAGGAAGACAGACACTATCACATCCAGGTATTGAAGTCCTTTGACTATCTGGAACAAAGGCAAACATTTTGTGGAAAAGTACACATTAGTAGGCCGAATTCATTAAATGCTAGTAATTTTAGCCCAGGTTAAAACATCTGAGCCCTCAATGGGTTCAAGGGCACAGTATTAATCAACAAAGAAAGTTTCTAATCGAATTTGGCCTTGGGAAATTTTCTTATATATTCTTTCTGGGTGATGTTATTGTTTTTGGGGAGCTTATCTACTATCTTGATGGGAACAACTATCCACTTTAATAAAGTGCCTAAAATAATGTAATAAACACACAGCTTATATCAATAGCATCATATTTCCCCACACAGTATTTGTGTGTGGTTTAATTAGATGGAAGGATTACAGGAAAAGTTTGTGTCATAATGATTCTTTAAAGCGAAACCATAGATCAAAGTTCATAGCTGCCAAATATACAACTTTCAAAACAAGCTCAAGTGCTGCTATTAATCATGGCTGCTGGGGGATTTGATGACAAAGATTAAACTGCTGTAAAGGATACTGCTGTGCATCAGATTCTTGCAACTGTCATCAAATAGTCTGCCAGCTATTAACAGGTCAGAAGAGTTGTCCAGCATTTACCATGGGTGGCTCTGTCACTGCAGTTGGTGAGGCTGTCTGTGCCATGGTGACAACCAGTGACACCCTCCCAGACAGGCTTTTGTGGGTTGTTATTTTTATAGTGTGGCTGAAGCCTTAAGGTCTGCCTGTAGAGCAAACAAGAGGGAAGCTGCCTCAGCCTCAAAGCACTGTATCCTCACAGGAGCATCCCTTGTGTGGAATATTTCCTCTCTTATTTTTCACATGGAGCATCTTCTCCTAACTGCATGTTAAGAGTGCCCACCTGTGGAGCTGAGGTGTTGTAAATTCACTCCTAGTTTATTTCTCAGCAACCACTCTGCATAGCTAAGCCCTCAGAGATGACCTCAAGAAGCAGCTTTTGTCCTATTTACAATTACAATTTTGTCCTATTTACAATTACAATTACCCTCTCTCCTTCCACACTGGATCATGTAATACCCCTGTGGGATGCTACAGCTCTCACTTACACAGAAACATAATACAAAGGAAGTATACAAAGCATACTTTGCAGGGTGGGAGCCAACAACCTGTGGCCCGCCAGCCAGAGCTCTGTGGTGGGTCATCGATGGCTATTAGATGGAACATAGAGAGCTGCTAACCTACTGACCTACAAAGTGCTGCTGTCTCTGCCCATGTGTAACAGTGAGCTTTAGAAGGGGCCTTTCTGAGCTTCAGCTCTGCCAAGGCTGAAACTGGTATCACCGTCTTGCACCGAGCTGGTGCTGGAACAGATGTGAATGACAGCCTGACGCAACTGGCAACTGGAGATTCAAATCCAAAACCACAGATCTGACTACAGTCTTCAAAGTTGAGGGGAGCTACAGATCTGAATCCAAACTTCACAGCTGCAGCCAGCGATAAAACAAACTTATCTATATAATGGGTTTTATTCAAATTGCATCTAAATATCTGTCATCTCTGGGAAAGTTTGGAGACACATCTGGCTGGAAATTTTTAAGCATCATCTCATCTTTGCTAATAGCATCTTAAAAAAAAAATCAAAACAAATAACAAACCATACAAGAATGCAAGAATGTTAAGACTTAAAATGGATGACATTCAAACTTAGAAGTAGTTCAACTTACCAAAAGTTTTCACTCTACCTAACACTTCACAGATCACTCCTTAATCTAACTGTTCTGTTCTTTGCTGAATGCAAGGATGTGACACCAGATAGACCATTTTCAGACATAAATGATGGTATATTTTGATGTCTAAACAGTCCTTACTCATAAACCAGTCTTCATTTTCCTTAATTTAATTTTTTTTTTCCCAAGGCTCCTCTCTTTCCATAAAAAATTTAGTGTGGGACTGGAACCTTCAGTGCTGTAGCCCATAGATATTTAGTTCACTTCTCACCCTCCCCAAAATGTTCAGGAAATTAATACACCAAATGATAGAAAAGTGAAAGAAATGTCTGCTTAGATAATTGCTTTTATAGTCACTGTAAGAAGCTTTTTAGTTACCACCACAAGGGTAACTGGATTGCATGGGCTTGGCCTGTAAAGAGTTCTCCCCAAAACCTGGTCTCAACACAGATCTGAGGTTTGTTTAACACTCGCAAGGCTCCACTTCTGCACAGAATTACTAGAACCACATAAATGGCATTTGCTTACACGTCCTTGTGTGATGCTGACAACACCCTGCCTGAGTGTGTTGCGGGGAATCCCTGGTGCTCACTACATCCATCAGTGAGGCCTTTATCACACACCAACAGCAAACGTCTGGGGGACGTATCAAAGGGCCTTTGCAGATGGCTCCGGAAGCATTAGTGTCCATATTGCACTTCAAAGAATACAAAGACTATCTGGGAACACTTCCCTGAATTGGGACCCCGTTTTTCTGCTTTTCTGGTTTCAGCCATCTTACATTTAAATATGGCATCTGGTTTTCTTCTTACTGAGAGCCATATACCAAGTATAGCAACCAGGAAAGGGTGGGGAGGTGTTTTCCTTTGGGTTACTGAAAAACATTGCCTGAGGAATGGAAACACTGCTTTGATTGTGATACAACCTCTATTTTTATTACTTTTTTCTGTAAAATACAATAAAAACATTGTGGGGAAGTATATAGTCAATTATCTGCCGTGGAAAGGATACACCATCCATTGGCAGGGCTTCTGGGGGATGGAGCAGCGAGTTGCAACCTTGTCTTGTCTTTCAGTCTGTGTCTCAAAAACCGCAGAATCACAAATTAAAAAACAAAATACGAGAATGTGAAATGCAAAAAGCCAGTTATCCATCTGAAAAACATCACAAATGGACAGAAAAATGGCCAAGACCATTATGAGTACAGCTGCTGTGTGGGTAAAGCACTCTGGAACAGAAAGGGGGATGTCTTAGGGTCTGGAAATGTGGTATCCATAAAGCTCAAGTCAGTGGCAACATTACCACTGGCCACAGTGGGTCCAGGTTTCCTTCAATGTGCTCTAAATTTATTCTTAGCTCTCTATTATAGCATCTAAATAAAACCAGTGGTGTGCAAATGAATATAAGGGTGTGGATTAGTCAAAGTGGCATTGACAAAGGCCAAGTCTGTGCTGGGTTGTGCTTAACATTCACTGCCATGGCCCAGCTTTCTGGTGGAGCAAGGATTTTCACATCACACTTCATCCTTCCTGGCTAGCCTTTGATGTCAGTTCTCAGTTTAGGCTACAGCCTCCTGTGAGAGGTGCACTGACATGTGCTTGGACAGAACTGTACATTGTGGGTGCCACCACAGCACCTGTGACATTCCAAGAGTGTGTGGTGGCACTGCAGGCTCCATTTGTGTGATCTCCATGTCTCCTGCCACTCCCTGCTGCAAAAATGGTGCCCAGGTGCTTGTCTTGAAACCTGGGTGCTATCTCCAACATTTAGAAAGGCTTAAAAGAAAAAAAATTGAAATTTATCCATCTCATGGAAGCTTCATGTTCATTCTGTTGTAGTGGAAGATGTGAGATATTAACACATAATATTTAAGTGCCAATAAACCTCTGAAAGGGACACACAAATGAAATTCAGCTGAGTGTTTCTATATGCCCACAGTACTTGAGCAGATTTGGTGCTTCTCATTTTGTTGTAATTGCTCTGTTTGGGCACCAGCTGATCTGATTGTATTGCCAATTCGACACTGCTTTTCAAGAGTAAGCGGTGAATACATAGGATTTCAAAAATAAGTGGTGACTGCAAAGGACTTCTTTTTTTGGGCAACAAACACCTTCCCAGAGGTTGAACACAAAAGCAGTGACAAAAAGCATTTAAAGAAACTTGAATTCTCTAGAAATGTTATTTCCTAATGATGCAAGTCATCATATCTTAGAAGTGTGTGTCACCTTCTGAAGCCAGTGTTTTGAATCAACCGAGTAGTTGAGGAATATGATGGAATATAAGGCAAAAATGAATTTTCCTGTAGTTTTGCATATACCAAATTGACATATCGACAACTTTGTGTTAGACACAAGGCAAAATATTGAATCTTGAGTATCACATTAAAGAAGAGCTCAACTGACAAATTAACAGGTTTTGTCGTCTGAAGCGCAGAGTCAGCCTCAAAAAAGCACTAACTCATTATGATGAATTGCAACATTTTTAAGCATACTTCTGCACAGATTAATTAGATATATTATCTTTACAAGAAAAATATACCCAAATAACTTGTGAGCTACTTCTGAGGATTATTTGTATTTTTTTCTGTTGAACTGCTTAGGGAACAGGCTTACTAGCATTAATGACAACAATGTCCATGACTTTCAAGTTGCTCCAGTTGTCTCTCTGCTGAAGCAGAAATGAGCCCTCTTAGAGTCTGATGGTGCTATAGCAAAAAATTAAATAAAATCATAATAAAAAAAGTACTGTTCTCTTATTAAAAACAGAAGCTTTCTTCCTCCCTGGAGGCCTGATATTTATGATCAAGCATTTCATGCCTACTTCTCTTGCCCTAATTCTGGTCATTTGCAACAATGCTGGTGTTAAGTGACTACGAAACCCTAGGCTCTGAAGTAATCAGATTTTCAGGCCCTGTGCCCTACGTCACATGGAATCGTTTATTGCAGTACAATAGGAAATAAGGCCACTGTGCCTAACAGTATTCCTGGAGGGAGAAATGCTGCTCATTGCTGAGTAACAATATACCCACATGATTATTGGTTGTAAATTCTGCCTTCAAAATCAATGGCTTTTTGCATTTAGAACTAGCAGAACCAAAGGGCAATTACCAAAGAAATACAGAGAGAGAAAAAGCTCAGAGTACCAAGCTCCTGCTCAAGAAACTGCTCATATGGAAGTGCTAACTCCTCAGATCCAGTTGATACAGGGCAGCTGAACTGGTCTTGGCAGCTGGGATAACATGGGCTGTGAGAAGTACCAAAGTTCCATCACTGGCTAAAGATCCTGGCAAGCAGTTCAGTCCCTTTTCCCCACAAAAAACCTCACAGCTCTGCTTCCAGCCCACTATCTCCTTATACACAGCATTTGTTGGGGCGATTCTTTTACATAGAAATAACAAGAGAGGTTCAACTGCGGGTGGTTAAAGAATTGTGGACTTGTTGGGCTTGCTGTATTAAGTCTCTGAAATTCAGAGCTTACCTTCGAGTCACTGCCTTTGGTCTTGCTGAAGCTGTAGTGAAAAAAATAGGCCCAAGCCTCTCAGTTTTCCAAATGTAGTAAAAAGTGTTTGAATACACACTTTAATATATTTTCTGTGGCACTTTTGTAAAATACAGATATATAATTATAGATATAATGCATATATAGCATTTACTGTATTGATAAAAAGCTAGTCTTTTCACAATGACAAACCAGTATTTACAATATTATTAAAATTTTAAGGAACAAATAAAACAATATTGGGTGGTTATATGATAAGAATAATTTGAGGAAAAATAAGAGACCAGTTCTAAAAAATTCCCAGACAATAAAGTACATAGTCTTGACAGGAGCACCACCATGAACATCCATGCACAACCTTTTTTTTTCTCTCCTTATAGGAACACACATGATTTAGCTCTTCCACATTTCTACCTAGTCACAGCTCTTAAGCTGATATGGCTATTTATGCTTCTCCAAGTATGGATTAGTTGTACCATCTTTCCACTTAAGTGTTTTTCCAACTGCAAAATTTGGAAGTTTTGCCTAGAGAAGGAATAACTACACACAAGTTACTTCTTAATTTAAACCAATGGAGCTATGACAATTTGCATAGCTGAAAATTTTCCTATCATCTTCTACACACCTTAGAACCATTTCACAAACCAATAGCATGAGTTTGAACAGCATTTTTAGCATTGCAGGTCTTTTCTAGGAAATTTGCCTCAAAGGACACTGCACTGCCAAGACCAGCAACAGAGCTGAAGTGCACGAATTTACTTTTTTATCCTTATATATGAACATCACCCAGCCATTCATCTGTAACATACTGTCCACAGCACAGCAAATGTAAAGATGATCTTCATCTTCAATGTACTGTCACCCCCTCCTCAGAGGAAGAGAAGTGCTATTATCACAGTTTTCAGAAGAAAAAAGTCTGATAGAGACTGACTGAACTTAGACATACTCAGAAAGGTCACTTAGAAAGTTTAAGACAGCAAAGAAGCAAGCCCACATCACCTCAATCGCATCATCTTCTCTTTCTAACTTTGAAAGAGAACTTTTTATGTATCTTTAACAGAAACAAATACATAACCAATAGAAATAAAGCATTCTTCAGACACAGGCTTAAAGATTGCTGTCCTATTCCCAGATAAGAGGAGGTAGCAAGAGAGCTGTTTCTGCATATATTATTTCCGTCCCACTGTAGAAATATTAGCTGAAATGAGTCTTTTTTGAAGTGAGAGTGGGTAAGCCCACTATTTGCCCGAAAAGATATAAGAACACGTGAGACACATAAAAATTCACCTTCACCCAAAAGATCCAACAAACATACACCTGAAAGACCTTAATCTCCTTTAATGCTGACTGGGGAAGCGTTTTCAAGCACGTCTGTACCCACCTGAGAATGCCTTTACATCACCTGCACAGTATAAATTAGAATTGGCATACTGTTGAAGATGACCTGTTCTGTCAAGCACTAAAATTTGTTTTCTAGCCCCTGTGGCTCAGCCCTGACAGACGGGCAGCTGAGGGCAGCTGTTGCAGAAGGACTGATACACACCTGGGCTGTGCAGGTGCGCATGAGGGCAGAAATTTCACCATGGTGTCTCCCTGTGTCCTGGGGACTCTGGAGAAGTCCGGTCAGGAGCAGATGGTGATCTACATTCTTACAAGTGCCATGTAGAAACCAGAGGTGGGAATGAAGGAAACCTCTCCTATTCCAAGACAAAACCAGAGCAACAGGAAGGCAGCTATGACAACGTTCTTCTTCCAGGAACACTTTTGAGCAAACTGGGTCACTTTTGTAATACTGAGGATGCAGAACCTTTTTGCCCTTATTGAAAAAAATAAAACAGAAAAAAAAAAAAAAACAACCAAGCAAACAAAAGGAAAAAAAACCAAACCCAAAACATGTCACACACACAAAACAGGTAAAACCAATAACAGAATTTCTCATTCGGCTCACTTTTTTTTTTTTCTCTAAATCAAACGGAATTTTCCTTTAAAAAAGTAAAAATATAAAAAACAAAGATACATTAGAATATCCTACTGTCCAGTAAATGTCTTATAGGCATTTGGAGGAAAAAATGCATCAAGCCCTACCTTTGACAAAAAGTAAGCACCCCAATGTTCCTTTCATACAAAGGAATGCTGCTTCTAGTGCTGGTGATTTGAATTATTCCCATCACCACAATTTGAATATGCATTATTTGTCTTCAGATATATAATCATAAATCTAGACTAATGCTGAAAAAACAAATTCTAGTGAGAATGCTGTGCCATTGATAAGCTAAAACCAGCATATCATGAGAAGGCAAACTAATCTTTCCATTTATTTTGTAGGCTGGATGCTTGATGCTTAACACTAAGAAGTCCAAATACCCTTTTTATCACTTATAACAGAAGAAACCTGTAAAATGCCTTTGGTGCATCAGCTTATTGTATGAATGTTTTAAAGAAACTCGCTAGTAATATAGGAAATAAAAGTGGGCTTTTTTCTGTTGTTTAATACTCCAAGTGTCACTTCATTCTTTAAAGGGGTTAGAACAGAGGAGGGGGAAAGGGGAGGAAGTCTTACTTAATTTGTTGCATATGTCCCAACGTGTTATACAACTAAGTGTATTATACCAGAAAACTAAAGCAGTCTGCACCGTAGCAAACTCTGTGTAACTCAAAATAGGAGGATAATCTGGCCAGAAGCAAGTCAAAATTTCAGTAAAACTTCCTCTCATATTATATATACACACACTTAACAAGCTACATCGAGTGTCCTTTCATATTCCAAAAGAAATACATTGCAGACACCAAACATACTGTACTTTTACTTAAAGGCTTCATCAAACCATGTGTGCAGACACTTGAGAAGATGAGAGTGTCAAGCTTCCTAGGGTCCTAGAGTCAAAGAAATTCTGCTGCCCCCCACTGCTAAGTAAGTGCACTCCTTCCACGGGGGGCAACATCTGCCGATCCGTCATGGTTCCACTTGGCGAGGACCCCAAGAAACTTCCTTGGGAAGAAACGATTTTCTCAGGACTGGCAGCCAGTTTAGGGGATGTGGAAAAGTTATATCCATAGAGCGCACAGGGACTGTGCAGTCTAAACGTGTTGTAGGAGCCTTGGTGGGTCTGGTTAGTGGTAAAGGCATTGCTGGATGGGGAGGGCATGATGTACTGGAGCTGTGGAGACATCCCTGAAATCTGCATGGATAAGCCAGTCTGCGGGCAGCTGAAGGCATCCCCGTCACTGCCGCTCATGGACATATTCACAGTTGTGCTGCTGGACACGCCGACGTAGGAGGGAGTCCTGGGGGCAGCGAAGGTCTCACCAGCCTGGCTGGTGAGCCGGTTGTAGGTCTCAGCCAGGGAAGTGCTGTACCTGTTCAGCGCCAGGCCGGAGCGCGCACACGCGGTGTAGTCAGCTGGGGCAAGGGTGCACAGCTGGCTGGTGTTGGGGCTGAGGTGGAAGGCTGGAGAGGAGCAAGGGGAGCCCGGTAAAAGGTGAGGGTGGGTAGATGGCACTCCACTGCCAGATCCCTGGAGTAAAGTAGAGGAACCTGCATTTCCTGGAAGAGAATGTTACAGTGTAAGAAGCGCATTGGGAAAGGTTCGCTTCCTAGGTGAAAGATCAAGACCTTTGTCTTTTATAATAACCCTTGAGATGAAATCCAACTCATATTAATTAAAAACTTTTACATACATGTGCAGGAAAATGTGTGAGTGAACCACATGCATGTTTCTAAATAAACAACTTGACCAAGAAAGAGAATTGAAGTTATGTTTTTACAACCATCGCTCAGTAATTAGAGCTCCTGTCCAAAAGGTTAACTGCTACTTATATGACATGGAAGGAAATTTCATGGCAGTTAAGATGTAGCCAAGTGAGTACCCCATCACAGGAAGCCTTCTTCAATATTATGAGTTTTGGCTTGTCTATGCTCTTGCTACAGTGCAGAATGTGTTTCAAGTGCTCTGTGCCTGTCACTGTCAGAGCACCAGCTGAGGAACCAGATCCTTAGCTCAGAGGCTCTCACAGACAACAGCTTCGGGAAAATTCCCAACTTCAGAACAAAAAAACTTCTGACTTCAAACCAAAAAAATTCTGAGAACAACCAAAAAATTCAGAATAACTTCAGGAAAAGTGAGGGCTGTACAGTGCACATAGCTGCTTCATTTCCGGAATGGGTAGGTTTGCAGAAAACTGTTTGGAAATTGTTCATTTACTGATATCAGAACTTTATATTACAAATACCAGTGCTGAATGCTCCTGAAAGCACAATGCTTGCCACAGGTGAAACCTTTTCTCAGGACTGAAAGTTTCCCAGCTGCAAGGAAGACCTTCTTTTCTTAAAATACTGCATTTTCCTGAAAACTGAGCATGGAAAAATTAACTGGGGCCTTTTACAGTCTCCCAGGCAGAAGACACTTAACAAGGAAGATGTCCTGTTTATGAATCACACTAACAATCCAACAGCTTGATGCTGCAAAGAGAGAAGTTCTGTCAATAAGTTAACAGACTATCATAATAGGTGAGCCAGAAAAAAGAAAAACACATTATTAAAGATCACTGCCTGCTGCTGCTTCTCTGTTAACAGGACACCAGAATCACAAGGCATCCTTAGGCACTGCCACATTACAGAAATGATAAGACACATTTTTCTTTTAATCTCCATCAGTGCCTCTGCTACCTGAAGATGGTCACTTTCAGCATTAACAACCAGGACAAATTTCTAATGGGGTCTTTCACAAAGTCTCTGTGTCCAAGGTATAGATGGCTAAAGATTTTACAAGTTTCCATTCCCAGAATATCAAGAGTAACTTCAACAATCTTCTTAACCTCAGGAACCAGCAGAAAAGGAAGTGAGAAGCTCAGGGCAGCGGTTCCCCTGCTCCCAAACAATGCTCCTACACACAAACAGCCAATAAAGCTTGTCAGTCTCCTAAATGGATTAACTGCATCATCAGTTGCTTTCCAGTCTTACACAGTCTGACAAGGTATTTCAGGTCTCATTCTATCTTCTCATTAAAGGCCTTTTTGATGAGACCATCCTTCACCCCCAAAACTCTGCCGACACTCATCCAATGACTTGGCACAAACCTTCCTTTCAGTTGCCCACATCAAGCACTGATACACAAGATTTCTCAAAGGAGTGAAGCAAAAAGTTGACAAAAGCAATTTTTCTGAATTTCTCTATGTTCTGAGTTTTTGCTCTGAAGATGTTTAACAGCTTTGCAATCAATACATTATCAAGAAACCTGACTGGATGTCTGTAAATTTGGTAGCAGAAAATGCAAAGAATTGGGAGCAAAATGTTTGATTTAGCTGGGAAAAGGCCAAGAGGTTTTCTATGTGCATTGGTGTATAATCAGGAAATAAAAGAACTCAGAAAAGAGTAGAGGTTCCACACTCTGTCCAAATGGACCATTGAAATATTTTTCTCATTCATGATACTACCTGCACAATGGGAAAAGTGGAAACAAAGGTTTTCAACAAAGAGTGAAGAGCAGCAAAAAGCAAAACAGAGAGGTGATGCATTTCTTTAAGCTCTAGGATGCAGAAAAAGTTGTTGACCTGTTTACTGAACAATTTTCAGGTCTTTAAGATCATAAAGAGGTTCTAAGAAGAAAAAAAATTAGGCTTCCTCCTATTTATTCATTGCTTAAAAGAACATTTCTTCTCTCATTCCATTTTAATTTTTTTTTCTTAAAAACACAAGTAACTCCTATGCTGCAGTTTGGATGTGTACAACAGAATTCATCTCTAAGTGATCTCTACCTTTTGTATCTAGCCAGAGCATAACACTAAGGAATAGGTCATTCAATCCTTAAATAACTGGCATTCTCCTCCACATGTCATCTGATTTTTCTTTACAATCTAACATTTTTATTGCCACGGTGGTTGAGTTAGCATTAGTTTTCTAACTTAGAATAACTCTGATGAGAGGGGATGGCTGCTCTATGGTTAGTTGGTTGTTTTTGCCTTGTGAGTGACACATTTACTTAGAGTTTTTTAAAGTATGATGGGCAAAGTTTCATCTTTCATTTTTGTTTTGAAAGAGCCCAAAGACACTTGTTACCTTGTTTGGGTATCCCAGGTATGTCTTCAAATGTAAGTGTCCTCAGAGAAGGTCTCCAGAAGGCATAAGACTCTACCAGAGCTTCCAGTCCCATTCTATTTAGAACAAAAGAATCATGGTGTCATGAAAGCAAGCTGTATTTTGCCACACATCTCTGGATACTCCACCTCAGAAACATATAGGCATTTCAGGAATATTTACAAGTTGATTTTACTTTTTAGAAAAGATCCTTACAGCCCATCCGTGAGACCACAGGGACCTGCAACCACTGGGCTGCACAAAGGGTTTTCCAATTCCACAGGCCTGGCTCTCTATTTCAATATTTTGGGCCTTTTGGGAGGGCTGTTTGAGTGGGAAGATTTGACTAAAATGATTTTAAATGTTTTGCTAGTATATTTCTTAAAGAGACCATTCCTCTGGCAGTTAAAGTTTTAACTGCCAGAGGAATGATCTGCTATTTCTTCCTAGAATAAAGGTGATTCACTGGCAACTTCTATTAAAACAGGATTCCCAGTCACTACTGATGAGCTGGAAAATTGCACTTAGAACATGAGCAAGGCAAGGATGTACAGCTATTTTGCTACCAAAATCATGTGTAAAAAAAACAATGTTATTTTGCTAAGCAAAATACCTTTAGAAACTAAAAGTTTTAGCTCATTTTTTTGCAATAGTGTCCTGAGAAATCAGAACTGTGTAGACAATGGTGTCAGACACTATTCAGAAAACTCTCTGCTTCCTGAAGATAAAGGCCCATTTGTTTTCTGACAATTTTTTATGAATAATACACCTCAGAGGTATACAAACTTAGAGGTATAATTTTGGTGTTATTTTTGGCTGCTGGGCCCCAGAGGCCTGTTGAGTATCAGCATCAGGCACACACCAAATACAAGTGCTTGCCTTTGAGCAGCAGTATTTGTAAACTTGAATTACGCAAATAGACCAGTCTGAAGCAACCGGCATGTTCTGGTACTACTCCTTCCCGCAGGAACACAAATGTCTGTCAGGAAACATTTATAAAGCGTTTATTAGCTGAACCTGGCCTAAAAAGATAGCCTTAATTTTCTGCAGTAATGGTGAATTTTCATTTCTAGTTAAAGCGGAGATAAAAGCCACCTCCTGGAGGAGTGTAGCCAAGGCGATAATTTATACAAGATGCCTTTGAACAATTTCCACATTTTATCACCACCCTAATTTGCGCTATCAAATGCCCAGGTTTATTTAACAAAACAGTTATGGTTTTCCCAAAGTATTTAAAGGGAGAAATTCTGGTCCTTTCCTGAGTAAAAGATTTTATAGGGTCAAACTTCAGGCCCAACTGAAGAATGAAACTATTCTCAGCACCTAAAGTCTGTTGCACTTTGCAAATGCACTGGGAATGTTTTTAAAAGGTGAAGGTACTGATTTCTGTAAAATGGCCCATGGGACTGAACAGGAATGACCTAGAAGGGCATATTTTTAATTAAACTGAATTACTGCACGCAGCAGTGCAGAGTGAGATTGCTGCATAAAAACAATATTGAAAAGTTTGGTATAATTTAACCACAGTATTTTTTTAACCTTGTTGCAGACTAAAATGCCTCAATGATAAAAACACCGGCTAGAACAATGAGGATAACAGAACCTTAACATTTAATTTCAGTATTTAGTAACAGAGCAAAACAATAATCTGCTGAGTATAGCGATAGAAATTTTCCCTGACAATTAAAATTCTGAGCTGAATTGCCAAACATACTTATCCAGTAATGCAGACTACAAAAAGAAACCAGTGACACTGACTTCAGTGAAACAATGTCAATTTGCAACAAACAAGAGTTTGCAGAGTCAATTCTGTAACGAGTGTGTTTGTAGAATAAAAACACCCAGATCTCATCTAAAGGCTGCTCCAAAACATTTTAGAGATGCTGGCTCTTCCTTCAGAACTTCCCTTCCTAATCAATTTCCATTTAAAATAACTTTCAATCAAAATATCTTGCTTTTTTTCCCAATGCCTGAACCAGACTGTTACTAGCAGCCAAACAAAAACCTCCTCTCTGGATACACCCAGTCCCATAACTGTATTTGTGTGGTTGCAGATGCAGCATTCCTACATCCTCCTCAGATAATTCCAGAGCTGTCCTGCCACATCCTGTTCAAAACTAATTTCTGAACAATTCTTTCCTTGCTGTCTAAAAGGATATCTTCTCTTGTTTCTCATGGAAGAAATTCTAGGTCCATCTAAATTTGCACTTTTCAGAGGACCAGGGTTTCACACTTAGGAGATTCCATAGTGCTTATTTTATAGTTCTGCAAACAGCAAGCACAGCAGAGACACTGCCTAGGGGAGAGAGAGCTTTCAAACAGGGCACATATGGCAACCCTTCTTCTTCCCAAAGTACACACAGCATGTTTTGCTTCTTCAGTCACTGCATTTACCTGGAAGCTACTGTGCACTTCATTTCTAACCAGAAACCTACAAAAGAGGGCAAAGCTCTATATATGTGAGTGGCCAGAACATGGATTCTTATTTCTTGCTAGAATACAAAATCTCAGACATACTAAGAAGAATAGAATTCATACAGTGAATATCTGTAAATCTTTGCAACTACGTCATCCCTTCTATAAGTAGTCATTTTCCAAAAACTACTGTCATTTACTGTCCAGCTTCAGGTTTTATGTAACTTGGGTTTTATGTAAAACGGGCTTTAATGCTGTAACTTCTGCTAACAGAGAAGCTCAATAAAACAACTATCAAAAAGAAACTCTCTGATCATTCCTACCAGCACAGTTTGCTCCCTTCTCTGCAAGGCCTGGTCATAAATATAGCAGCTGCAGACACCAAACACAATGTGGTAGCTGGAACTGATGTATACTATACACCACAATGAAACACTGCTTTTTTTTTTTTTTTTTTAGCTGAAATGGTTTAACATACAATTCAAAACAGGCTTAAGTAGCTTGCATTAAAGTCATTGGATAAAATACCTCATTGGCACTGGCAGCCTGGACCAGACCTAAGTCTCCACTTTGCACTACACAGATTTCCCACTGCTATTTTGAAAGATTCACAGATCAAGAGAGAACAAGCAATTAATCAGTCCATCCACCACAGAAGAGGTGGCAACCAGCCTCATTTCAAGGTCTTCTATAGCCTGCTAGGAAAGGTATTCACCTAGGAAGTGGATTTAAAACTCTTTAGACGAAACAGACACTTGAATACAGGTCTCCCACCTCCCAGGCAAGTGTACTAAACATAAGGTTACTGCACAAACCAGTTCTCCCCCTTAACGGGGAAACAGTCATTAACCCATCCTATGTGCCCCTTACTTGCAGGAGAACCTGAGCTTGTAGTTTGACAATGGCATCTGCAACTTGTCTCCAGCCAGGAGAAAGAGGAGATTTCAAGCACAGCCTGAAATCACGGACCTGAGCATACATTAAGTCCATTTGCAGCCTCCATGGTGTGTCAGCGCTTCCACTGAAAGGAAACTTGAGCACATGAGTCAAGCCAAGTGCCAGTCTGTTCCTGACCTAGATGGTCAGAAGTGTAGCAATGGCGATTCCCCACAGAGATCATTGCTGGGAAGTCTGAGTGGTCCCTCAGGGAGTCTGAGTTCTCAAATTAGTTTGTCTGTAAGTACAAGTGTTGGCTTTGAAGAGCCTCCACAAACTAATCCTGTCAGCAGGAAGCAGCCCAGCTCCTCCCCAACACCTACCTGTTACGGCCCGAATCTCTAAAGCCTTTGGCGAATGGGTTCCTATCGATCTTCAGACGAGTTATCTGTGAATATTGTTAAGAAAAATTATTGCCTGTCAACTCAGATAAGTAGCACGGAAAACAACTCTACTGACAGAAAAAAAAGCTGACAGAGGAAATATCTTCATATTTGAATGGTTTAGATTGCTGTCCTGAAACATAGCAAAATAAGGACCATCTTCTGATCATTATTTTTGCATGTCCCTGGAGAAGCTAATAGGTATTTAAAGCTGTCAAATGGCAGTAGGAATTACTGAGAAAAAACTTCAGGCAAAAGTCATTCTTCATTTAAGAGAGTTCACTGTCTAACTGCAATGAAATTTAAATTAAATTTTATTTCTGTACTGGTCAAGACAGGAATGTGAAAAGAGAGATTATCTCTAGGTTATTATCCTCCATGAAAAAAAAAAAAAAACCCAAACCAAACAAATCTACCAAAAACCCAGCAAAACACACCACACCCCAAATAACTGTAATTTATTTTAAAAAATGAGAAAATCACCAAAAACTTATATTTCAGTATTTACATAGCTCTCCTGCTCCTCTCTTTGTGAAGTTATCAATGAGTATTTCAAAATTTCAAAAACCACAGCTGCAATAATTTATACGGAAGTAATAAAATGTCACAATAATAACTATGTATGCTGAAACTTAAACGAGAGGTAGAAAGAGCTGAGTGATACAACCTGCAGTTCACTTTTGACTTTGAATCCATGTGGACCCAGATAAATTGTCCTTAATAATAGAGGCTGAATGCAGTTAATAAAAACAACTGCAACTTTCTTCAGAACTCAGCTTCTCTGTTAAGGTCCTGGGAGTATTAAAAGCACTGGAGTCAAGAACAAAAGTGCTTTAAAAAGTCTCTCCTGACACATATTCACATTTAAAGGTACAGAAACACCTTTAAAAATTAGACTGCTCTTGCCTTGTTCTTCAATACTGTTTTTATAATCAAGACACCATTAAGCATGCTAATTGGACTGTGTGATCTTAATAATAAGAAATTTTTTTTTTACATGCAGCATCTCTGAAGGCTCAGCTACAGCCTCCAGGCACTGCAACAATACTAACAGTGAAAACAACTTGTAGTAAAAAATAGATAGCTCTATTTTCATAAGTGATATAATGACAGCGTCTACTTTTCTCCTATCTCTTACATCTCTGGTCTGCTCTGAAAAGCCCATAAAGCGCTAACCAGAAAGCCTGAATTACCTGTTGATTTTGGTATGCTGTGACAGTAGTGAAGACTGTCTCGGGGAAGGAGAAGGCTTTCACCCCCTCTCCCGAAGGGATGGGCTTGACAGGGGACAGATCATCGCCACAGTCTTTTCGGATGACGTGGACACGAGGCTGATATTTATGCATAGAGTGAAGGATAATCTATGCAGTCATGCAAGGAAAAAGATAACATTTGTTAGAAAGGACACCCTGCTGTTTCAGGACTAATAGCTTTTTGGAACAGATTATGGTATGTGTTTACCATGCCACTTACTGGAAATCAAATGTTTTCCTTAACCTCTGAAGGTTCTTGTTACAGTAGTCTAATCCCTGTGCATTTATGTTATTACCAACCCTAAGCTTTTAAAAATTACGACTCAGGAGCTCCAAATTCAGAGATTGGCTCATTTGAAACTGGCTCAAAAAAAGAAAAAAAAAAACCCAAAAAACAAAAAACAAAAAGAGAATTCAGGAATGAAGTCTAGGTCCCACTAGAATTATGAAAGTTTTGTCACTTTTTTCCACTGAAGTCTGGATTTGACCTAACAGGATTAAAAGCAGCAGAAATTTGCCTTTTGTTTTTGGAATCTTCAGGATGTTCTATTAGAGCAATTTTTTCCTTATATCCCAAAGGCTGGAAACAAATCTTGGTTGGAACACAAGCTGAGACTCTCACAGTCTGAAGAAGCATAAAATTAAGAGTAAAATGATAACAAAATCCAAAACTCCAAAGTGTTACTAGCAAACGATCCATAAAACAGACAGCGAATTTCAATTAAAAAGCCCTCCCAGCATTCAAAAAACTCAATCAAAAATAAATCATAAAAGAGGAGTGGAAGCATACTGCATAAATTAAACACACAGATACCTCTTGGTACTGTACCTCAATTTTAAATGAGATTTAAAATACAGAATTTTTCCTCTATTTTACTCCACTTCAGCTAACCACTATTAAAATAAAAAATTTCAAGAAAAAAAAATTGAAATTCAGCTGTTATTGTTGGAAGACCTAAGAAATTAGTAACTTGATAAATAAATAGTCCTATGGCTATTGGCCTGTGGAACCACTAATCAACATTCTGGGGAAGCTTTTTAATTTCCTGCTCCTTGAGTAGGCTCAGAATGTGCGTGTGCTCAAGCACTCAACAGAGCCCCTATGTCAGACACCATGGAAGTTCATTCACCCAAATTATATAGAGGACATTACATTTGTTTGGATAAACTAGAGTTTGGCTAGTTTAATACACTTGGTCCTGGCCAGATTACATGACCCTGTTTTGGTAAGGCCAGTTTCTGGATAATCAGGGGTTTTATTAGCCCTTAAGTAAGGTTTTGACAATGACATCACAAGCTCCAATTAATTTGCTCAGGGAGTGTCCTATGGATGTTCTCATATGAAGTCTTTTTCGAATTTCTGAACAGAGCAAGATTTTTTATTGTGCAAAAGTGTTTTCTCTTCTACAACACTCCTTTCAGTTCTCCAATGGCAAAGATCTACAAAATGAAAATGCAGAGAGGGCAGCACATTCCTCACCCTGTTTCCCTGTGAACACCCAGTGGTGCCAGGGGAGATGCTGGTGGAACAGAAAAAGAAATTATCAAGAAAAGATGTTGCACAGTTCATATCCACTGCAATTCTGTGCCTTGCCATTTGTCTGGGTGCCACTGAGCATGCCATGTTCTCTCCCACACGGATTACTTGACCCCATCAGCTCTGTGGTGCAAACCACTGCTGGCCCACACACCAGTGATAACCCTGGCAGCTACAAAGAGCTCTGCTCACACACCAGAACAAGTGATATCAAAGCAGCACATGGATGAACACCTCCCACTGCTTATCTGGGTGGCTATTACAGCTAAACTGATCCATGTCATCTCCTAGGAACAACCTGTCTGGCCTCTGTCTTTTACTGAAATTTTCTGTGCTGACATGCTGTTTTGGCAATTAGCAACTCCATAGCAATATTTTTTTCCTTGACTTAGTACCATGTCTTCTAACAATGGGATCTTTGTTCATGATCTGAAGGACTCCAAACTCTAAATAATGCATAACTGCAAAGCCCTTGTGAATTAAAATGCAACATTTGAAGACAGGACATAGAAGGAGAAGGAGATGCAACATCTCCACTCCAAAAACAATCTAGCTCTATTATTCAAAGCATCACCTAAAGCTACTGTAAATAAAAAGCTAAGGGAAAGGAGACTTTGGCATTTTATTTAACAGGGCTTTCACATTTAAAAGCACCAATGGGATCTAACAGTTTTTCTGCAGTAAAAGTAACTTTCCCTTCATGCCCTTAAAATCCAACACAAAAAACCCCAATCAGAAATCTCACTATGTTCCCAAATATGAACTGGCATTACATTCAACTCACAGCTGAAGAACCTGCCTCTCTCTACAAAGTCCTCACAGAACAAGATGAAAACACTTCATGCGGAAAAACCTCTCACAAAAAGTAAAATTAAACTTTGGCCACAGCAGCTGTCAAGAAATCGTGATCAGACAGAAGACACTGCAGGTAGGAGGCAGAGCAAAGGCCACCAGAACTCCTGCAGCCACACAAAGCTGGGATTACCTCTGCAATGGCTTTTGAGAGCTGCTGCCACGATGAGGCCTCAGAGTTAGCCCTGAGCGTGAGCACCACATGGCACAACCATCTCAGCCAGAACAAATGAGAGCCAGAAACTCCTTCACAGGGGAGACACCAACCCTGCAGCCACTTGGCTGTGCCAAGACTACACGGTCACCTCCCCACTACCGACACACTCCTTGCTGCTGATTTTGCTGAAAATCCTCCTTTATCCTCTCTCCAAAGCACAAGCATGCAGGCTCTCTGCAGTTAGGGAAGTGTGTGGGGCTGAGGAGCACAGATTCCCTCTGTACTGGATGAAAACTGCAAGTGCAAATACTGATGTTTCACAGCTTTTCATTGTGACAAGCACATATAAGTGCCCACTGACTGTAAGCAGAGCTCGCTACTTGGAGCCAAGTCTGGGCAGAGTTACAGTCCGCCTCTGCTTCCAGCCTCGCCCCACTTTCAAATGGGGAAAAAACCCACCCCAACCACCAAGGAACAATTAACACACTAACAGCCTCATTTTCACTAAAAGTTAAAAGATGTTCCTCTGCATCAAAAAATACTCAGTTGAAAAGCATGGAAAATAGCATAAAAAATGTTGACTTTTCCCCTCCACTGAAATTCAGTTTAAAAACTGCATTGAAATAGAAAAATTAGCCAGCTCTAACCAGCCAGAGGGAGAGACTGCTTTTACAATGCAGCACTCACTCCACAGATGAGAGAGGGATGAGAGGCATTAACAAAGAGCATCCAGACCATGCACTTTTCAGTGACAACTGCAAAATCCAGGTTTACTTTTCCTTAGTTTCACAACTTAGATGAAACACATAAAAGCTATAGCGTGTGTCTTAATGACTCTATAGTATTTCCAAAGCAGGAAATTCACTCTGAAACTTCTGTTGAGATCAGAAACACACAAGGAAAACATGTCTGTACAAATTTTGCTTCATGTCCGCAGACTACAAGCGGAACCCGTGTATCAGAGAGTGTCCTATGTGCAGATTCTTCAAAAACCTCTGAGCTCAGCAGCACTATAAAACTGCACAGTCACAAAGTCCCACTTGAAATGCTGATGAAAACAGCAGCAGGCAGCATGGAACCTGGAAAGTGCTCGGGCAGTGAGGCTCTTAGAGATGGCTGATCTCCTTCACAGAATGCTAATCCCAGGGCAACACAATGCAAGGGGAATGAACCGGCTGCCACCAACTACTGCCACAACATAAATACTGCACACAAATTCTACCTTAGAGCCTGTTTGCAAATACTGTCTCTATTCCCACTGACATGAACCACTTCCCTCAGAGATCATGAGAGTTGATACTCTAGAATAGGTAAAAAGGCTCTAGACTGACATAATGCAAGCTCCCTACCTCAAAGCCTTCAAGATCAAAACCGACCCCCAGAACTTTAACACAAAACCTCTGCAAAAGCTTACACCTCCAACAGGAAGCATAAAGGAACAAGTTCAACAAGGATTAAATTGCCAGAAGCAGAAAGCAGGGAAAGCGTTCCCAAAGAACAACAGCTAAAGGCCAATGCTGCTTGGTGGAAATCCCACTGAGGTTTCTCTGAACCACTCTGCCTACACATGAGAGGAAAAAAACTACTTTCTAATAATCTAAAATATACCCCATGTCCCATAAGGGGTGGGAGAGTCAGAACTTCTGATATAAGAGTAAATATTGGAGGGACTCTACTGCCTTGATTCCTAGCTCTTCTAATTCGCCATCCATCCTCTGGTACCCTCCTGAGAAAAATGGTTTCTTCTTGCTTATGAGAAACAATTGGTTTTTTTATATTCATCACAAAATATGATTATTCGTTTTCCATTATTGCTAGAGGCATTCAGAGGCTACATAGCTTTTTCAATACAGCATTCCACACTACCATAGCTTTAAAAGAAAAAATGTACCCATTGGAAGAGACACTTTTCTGCTTTCTGCTTTTGCCTTTTCTGGTAATTATGAATGACATGTTTGCAATTTTCCAGATTTGAGAAATATGAAATTATTTTACAGTCATCCTTCTTTTGTCCTTTTATTTTAATACTTAAATTTCCATTTTGGGGAGGAGGGGCACTGCCATAGCTCTGAATCAGTTCAATGTGTCTCAAATCACTGTACTTGAGCTTTGCTTCACTCGTTTCCAAGCCAAAATAGTTAACTAAAGACCAGAAATTTTATATCCCCCCGTATTACAAATAATGGTCTGCTGTGTATACTACACAGGTTTCAGTTCAGAATAAACACAAAGCTAAAATCTGGGATGGAATAAAAGAATAACACAATTCTCTGCATAGCTGAGATTTTATCACAGGGCAGTTTGCAACTGCAAGTGCATGGATGGACCACACAGTACCCGCAGATCGTCCGTCTGCACCCGCTGAGTACAAAAACCAGCGCACTGCTGGAAAAGCAACATTTTATCCATTTGCATCTGCTTCACTTTCAAATCCCTTACAACAGACTCAGGAAAACAAGTCCCACTTGAGAGGAATCACAAATACACAAATCCTGGGGAAACTAAAGGAACTTCATATGCTAACCTGAACTCAAATGGACACGGCCAAATAAGACCCCATAACTGTAATTCTGGAAAGAAGCAATATAAAACCTCTTTTGTACTATCCTAAGAAAAGCACTGCTAACTTAAGAGGCATGAATACCCCCCCATTTCTTTTAAGGAAGAACAAAATAAAATAATGAAAATTATTGCACAAATGGAAGTCTTTTTATCCTTGTTATCACATTTGTTAGGTCAGCTATGAGCCTGTATTCCTGCCTCTGATCATTGCATTTTCAAACACAAATTAGGGAGAAAAATCTCTGACTATGTATTAGCAAAATACCTGGCTCAATGTCACAGAGCTACAACCATACCGAAAGATGAGTGTAGTATCTTTGTGCTCCGTGCCAGGTATATTTTCTTTCACTCCTTTCCTTGCAGGAGAAAGTGTCCTGGTTAATAAATTGGGTTACGCTAAGGACAATGGAATCCACATCCTGTCTCAAAACTTTCCTCTAACATCTTAAAACTCTACCACTTGGAACTCGATGCTTCTTCTGAAAGGATGCCAACATTTGTCATTTATTACAGGGGTTAGTAAAATCAAAGAATTCACCCCGACTAAAAACAATCCTCATTTTTTAATTATTTCTTAAGGTGTCAAGTAAAACTATTTTAGGGATTGCTGGAATGATACTGGCTTACATCTGTCATGTTTCAACAGTTTTGAAGAGAAAAGGAAATATTAACATAACACATTTTGTCACATTAGATAATGTCATAACTAAACAATTTAGAACTTGCAAACAGAACACTCATACTGCATACGTCTTCGCCAGCTTTTCCAGAAGTAATGAGCCTCAGCTGTGAAGGGGTCTTGCTTCATAAGGTATGCAATAAATCATCATCAGAGCAAACCCAGCTCCCATGTTGTTCGTTTTTGACTGCAATTATTAACACCTCACGGGATTTCACACAAACGTTTAGGTTAAGAAAATACTTAAGTGTATTTTTATTCATGTGAAGTTATTACACACTACTAATGTTTCTCCTAGCCACTTGTGAATTAGAGTCCTTTTCGATCGGAGGAGAAGTTGCAAGTAACACGCTCGGTGGGAAATACTGAGAGCAATTCTGCCCCTCTGTATTAGGCAATTTAGCCTTGTAAAGTCTTACTTTGCAGAAGGAGTTCTCTATTTGAGGGGGGAGTAAAACAGCAGGCTCTAATAAGCAGTTAATTATTGGAGCAGAAAGTAAGAAGCTTTTAGATGTGGACAGTGAAGTTCCAAAACAACTCTGAAAAGTCAAGCCTATTTCTGGCACCCCGCAGCTGTACGTCAGAGCCTCTCAGGGCTGAGCAACGTGCCTACACATAATGCCACCGAGAAAGAGCAAGTACTCACATGCCCCTGATCATCCAGCTCGTTGTTGGTAAGCTTCAGTTTGTCGAAGCTGATCACTTGTCTCATCCACGTCTCCCCCGAGGCGGGTGAGTCAGGGTGAATATAAACCCGAGGCGGCACCGGGGAGTCAGCATTTCCAGCCACCATCCACTTGGAACTATGATAGACATACCTGTAAAAAGAAAACAAATACCTCTAACCACTAGCACCAAAACAATCTATTAGACCCATTCAGCATGAATAAATTAGGGCCTATGCTTACAGCAAAAACCCATCAATTAGCAAAACATGAAAAAGCACAATTTTGCATAAATAAAAAGAAATTTTATTTGTTTGTTTGTTTGTTTCAAAACATAGTCCTGGCACCTGCAAAAATAAAGCTAAAATCCATGCTCTGACCTGACCTTGCTCTTTCTAAAATCAGTCACAGTCTCAACACTAGGTTTCAAAATGAGCTTTAAACTGGTGTCAGTTCATTGACTGCTACACAGCTCTGCTCTGAAAAGGCATCAGCAAATAGGGAAGAATCTGGTCCTTCTTTTATCAAATTGAGTAGTAATTCCATATTTGGAAGATTTATCATGTTGAGTCTAATACAAGACTCTATAAATAAAGCTATTGAAGGGAAAGATCATTATGATAGAGAAAAACAATGAAAGTATGAGAAACTATGCTCTTGATATTTCGGTAGACAATATTAATAGGCTTAAATAGTATTGCAAAAAAACTAAAAAAAATGAAGACATGGAGTCTGTATTTCATTTGATAGGCCAGTGCTGACAAGATGATTTTATAACAAAAAATGTGCCTGCTTTGGTTAAAAACCTATTTTGAAGGCGGGCACTTCACAAAGCAGTTTAAAAAGCATTAATTGAAAGTTATCTTTTTCAAGTACAGTAAAAATCCAGTAATTCAGCTGTATTTTTAAATGAAAACAAGAAAGACTTCATCAAATCATGTATTTGCACAATTCAGTTCCTTATTAGAAGACAAGCAACACAGTCAGAACAGAAAACAAAATGATCCAATGCAGGTGTCGCTCCATACAATTCAGATCAAGCTGCATAGCTAAGATCTAGAATGGTGGACAAATTCTCTCCTGCAAACAAATTCTCCACCCCAGAGCACTGTTGTAACATTTTTCATTTATTTTATATATCTTGGTTTATACTAAATATATGCTTTTCCTGGAAAAGTAAATAAACTTATAAATGCACATAAATAAAAATTCAGTGATAAATACACATTTTGAGCTACAGCGTAAGCTTCCAAATATTTATAAGATCAAATTTTGCTGAAAGTCCAGACCTATATGTAATTTTCTTCATTTCCATTAGTTTTGCTGTCTGCTCTGTCAGCAGTCTAAAGACTAGACTCCATGTGACTGCTGTCATTTCTATGAAATTTAAAGATCTGCAAGACAGTGTGTGAAACTGCACAAACAGCCAGAGTTGAAATAACAGACAGCAATAAAAAGCACAGAATAGAATGAGAAGCGGCACAAAGTAAAACATGTAAAACATTAACATTTAGTGGAAAGCTTAAAGGCATGAATACATGATAAAAGCTAATACATACTAATACATGAATTAAAAAATTTTTAGTTTGCCAGCTAAGAAAATACCGTCCTTCCTACAACTCTCATTAAGTTACTTCAGTTATCTGGGCACCATGTAGCACACTGTGAAGACAGTGTAGGTCAGTATGAGTGTAATTATTTTAAATGAAATGAGGTTTAAACAATTCATACTCGGTATAACCACTTTTAATTTTTAGTATTAATATTTTAATAAATTTGGAATTATTACCTTGGTTTTTCTATGGATTTATGAATTGTTCAGACCTTCTAGGAATTATACATTTAGATTGTTAAGCAAATGCACACAGGTAACACAAAGCAGAAAAAAAAAGCTTCCATTTGAACTGCGCTGCACTGGTACAAGGAAAAAGAAATTTTTTTTCCTTCTATGGCAGATACAGGAAATAATCCCCTGACTGTATATGCTGAGCATCGTCAGCCCTGGTGTCTGGTGCCCCGTGTAGAAAAACTCAAAATCAAAAATGCTCCTAAGAAAGGTCTAATACACCACACAAGAAAATGGCAAAATAGCAGTCAATGAGGTAAGTACAGGAAAAACACAGGACAGCATTTGCTTAGGAAACAAGGCAGCATTCCTGCAGAACCAACCTTTTAATCATGGTCTGAAATATTCCTAGTTCTAGAATTAAATCTGCAGTGGTTTTCCCTACATTATGCTAAGTATAGGTTAAAACAATCAGACCCACAATTGGTAAAGACCTGATCCTGTCTCCTCTGAGCTACTCTGGCCGGGCTTCCCCCCTGGCTACTCTGGAGCATGGGATTGCATCTGGAAAGCAGGACCTTGGAAACGGCTTCAACTCACAACAGGAACTGCTGCGTTCCTTGCAATCCTGCAAACGTTTCCACAGGACAAGTGGCTTCTGCACAGCCCAACCAGCTCCCTCGAAACACAACTACCCTCAAAACAGTGAGAGCCTAGCACAAAATTACTCTCCTAAATGTTCAGAGAACAACCTCTTTTGTTCCTCACATCATTCTCCAGACAATAATGCCATTAATTCTTTAAATAACAGTAATTAGAAATATTACCTTTTTTAGTTTAAGCTACCAAATATCGCACTTTTAAAATTAAATTCTATAAGCTATTTGAAGCATGACTTACTTATTAAGTCACATTACATAGCTTGTAAGTTATTTAAATCAGATATCCATGCTAATAACGTTATCAGTTAATGGTAATACCATTTGGCACTAAAAAATGTACATTTTCATATTTATTGGTTAATAGGAAATAATTCCTACTGACAGGAGCAGGAATAAAATATTATAACATTTCCTGACTGCACTAGAACTGCACTTTGAAAGCCCAACCTGAGCATCTGCCCACAGTACATACACAGTGTGAGGCAAATGCATTATAAAGAGCTTCAATACAAAATTTAGTTGCCTTTGCATACTTGGTACAATATGGTCTTCTAAAATACACTGGGATGAAAACAAGAACCTTCAAGGAGAGTAAAACATGATCTTCTGCTAATTTATGTTGTGTTAATATTTTCCTCCAACAGCCAAGCACCCTATGGCTTACATCATATGTTTTTTGCCTTAAAGTCACCATACCTGTATCTTTTGTTATCCACTGGCACAATATCCATAGCAATGTAATACTGCTGATGTGGGTCTAAACCTGAGATCTTCACTCTCATTGCAGGAAACATCCGCCTGAACATTGGAAAGAGAGAGGTCATTTTTAATACGAAACAGACTCGGGAATGGTTGTTTAGGAAAAGTAACCGCTTCGTGGGATTTTTCTCGTTCTTCCTTTTGGCCTACGGAGTCCTTTTGGACGATTATAGTTACATAGCCATGAAATGGCCCATTCGATATGTCAAAACAGATTTCTAAAGTGCATTTACTCGAACAATGCTTTGTATGTTTGGGGATACGCTTTGGGAGTACAGCTATTACCACATCATTTCAACTTTATTGTTAGACAGTAAATCATTTGGGTTTGAGACTTTACTTTAGCAGTACACACATTTAAAACCCATTTGAGATATTAGTAAGAAATGTATTCCTGGAGATGTGCAAACACCACCTCCACCCAGGAAGCCCAAGGCTTACAGAAAGGCAAATTGCCATTAAGGTTCAAGTGACAGCAGAAAAATGGTGTATCATTGCTGTAGCAGCGAATTAGAAAGCTAAATCTACGGTGATACAATTATAACACCGCAAGGATGCAGTTATAAAAGCCAATGTGCCATGCTCTAACCCAACAATGTGGTCTTTATTGACACGGGACTTCCTGTCTGCAACTTACTAAAGGTGAAGTGCGAGAGCTACCCTGTCTTTGAAAGGTATAGTAAAACTTCTTTATTGAAAGCAGAAACGAACCTACGAGCAAATTTCTGGGAAAAAAAAATAAAACAAAAACGACAAAAAACCAAACGTCCAAGATTTAGATCCTTCTGTGGAGAAACGGATTAATTAACCAATGATGTGGTTTGAACATAAAACTGCCCTTAGCTCTTAGCTTGGCATGCTTTTTATCAGAAAATTTCTTGAAGCACCAAAAAAAATTTTAAAAAAAAGTCCTAACTGCACGCTAATAATATACTCTTCTGCATTTTATAAACCTGAAAGTTATTCTAGTTTACTCAGTATTTACTGCTGTGCTAAAAAACATATATATTAAAACCCAATCCATTACGAGTAGTTACTGGAAACAAAAATCCTATCTCCGCCATTTCTGAATAAGCAGGAGGGTAAAAACCTGACTACGGCTAACTAGTTTTTGCTGTTATTTCAGTGCACCTGTAAGATAAAACAGAAAATCCCCGACTGGACTCTCTTTAAGACAAATGCAGCTTTGTGCTGTTTAAGACTGCGTTTCAATCATTAATAAAGCCTCTCTGAAAATGCAGACGGTAGCATATGGATTCAATAAAATATGTTTTTGTAATTTCTAATAAGTTCAAATACTTTTATACTTCCCAGGTTTTTACCATGTGTATCCCCTGGAAAGGGGAAAAGCTTCCCCCCACAAGGGCACTGCGCTCCCAGACCTCGCCCTAATGAACAGGAAACCCGAAACGCCACATGCTCCCGTGCCCATCTAACATTATCGCCATCTACCTGCCTCGTAAATCTGGAGGGTTCCCCCGGTTCGGGCCCGCTTTGATGTGCCCTCCCGCCCGGGAGCG